TCGCGCTCGACCTGATCGCCTGCGCTGCTGCAGCTTGGGCGGCCGAGGGAGGAGGAGGAGGAGGAGGAGGAGGCGGAGGCTCGAGTGAGGTTGAGGACGATCGAAGAGGCTGGAGGGAGGTGAGGCGCCCGCTCTGATCAGGGCTCGCTGCCCTTGTCGATGGCCGCCTGCTCGTCGCTGCCCCCGACGTCGATGGCCGCCTGCTCGTCGCTGCTGTCGCCGACGTCGATGGCTGCGCCCAGGACGCCTCGCCTCCAACGGGGCCTCCTGGCTCGTGGCGCCTGCGCGGCGCTGCCGTCGTCGATGGCCGCCTGCTCGTTGCTGCCCGTGTTGCCGACGATGGCCGCCTGCTCGTCGCTGCCCGTGCCGTCGATTGCCGCCTGCTCGCCGCTGCCCGTGATGCCGTCGATGGCCGCCTGCTCGCTGCCCGTGCTGCCGTCGATGGCCGCCTGCTCGCTGCCCGTGATGCCGTCGATGGCCGCCTGCTCGCTGCCCGTGATGCCGTCGATGGCCGCCTGCTCGCTGCCCGCGTTGCCGTCCGCCTGCTCTGCGCTGCCAGTGTTGCCGTCGACGATTGCCGCCTGCTCGCTGCCCGTGATGCCGACGTCGATGGCCGCCTGCTCTGCGCTGCCCGTGGTGCCGTCGATGGCCGCCTGCTCTGCGCTGCCCGTGTCGACGATGGCCGCCTGCTCGCTGCCCGCGATGCCGTCGACGTCGATGGCCGCCTGCTCTGCGCTGCCCGTGCACGCGTCGATGGCCGCCTGCTCTGCGCTGCCCGTGACGCCGTCGATGGCCGCCTGCTCTGCGCTGCCCGTGTCGTCGGTGGCCGCCTGCTCTGCGCCGCTCCGACGTGCACATCGCCTACGACTCGGCGAGATCGCGCGGCCAGATCTGGCCTGCCGCTCGGTATATAGGCACATCCACACGGACGGAACTACCCATTCTACATTGTCGGTGTCATGGATCCATGGATATGTCCAGCAATTCAATATCGGGTTCCAGACTGGCTGAGGCCGATCTTCGTCAGCATACTCGTAAAAAAAGCGGCCCCATCTGAGCCTGAGCCGAAACCCCTACGGATGGGTAAGGATGCATGTTCGTGGATGCCCCAGGTGACGTGTCATATCTCTGGATGCACTAGTGCCAGGGGCAAGGGTGCTTAGCTGTTTTCTGTGTTCGGGGCAAGGATGCCAGAGTGCCCAGGGGATCTGTCTATATTGGCTCGAAGCAACGTGCATGCCTCCAGGTGAGGATGCTAGCCTCGCGGGGGCTGGGTTCGTGTGTGTACATTTTCAACAATCAATACCTATAACCCAAAAATCAATACATAAAACCAAAAATCAACACATGCAAAACAAATCAATACATCTGACAAAAAATCAATACATCCACACACGGTTGAAAAAAATCAAGACAATCACTCAATATCGCTACGTTTGAGGCGTCTTGAAAAAATCAGCACTTTCGATGTCTGGGTCCCAGGTTCGGGGCGACTGGGGGGCCGCCAGCGGCGAGGCGCCCCCGGAGCGGTCGTGCTCGGCGACGCCCGCGGACCAGGACCCCGAGCCCCGACGCCTGGTGCGCGCAGAACTGGCTCGCGGATTCAGCCTTTAGACAACTCGACGCGGCCCGGGAACCGGACGGTCACGATCGCGGCGTGCATAGCGACGTCCTCGGCTCTGCCATGGCAGTTGGTTTGGGCGGCGTCTTGTATTCCGCCGACATCGCATGCGACATCCACCTTTGGCCCTGGGCCAAAGGGGATTTCGGGAACACTGTCGCTGCCAAGGACTCGTTGGACGCGTCGCCTGGCCCCGGCGCTGCGTTCAGATACTTCGAGAGGAGGGCTGGCCGCGAAACAAGCTTTTCGGCCGTGGAACTGTCGTCGCCCGCGCGCAAGGCGCCCGCGCGGCGGTCCTTTTCCTGGAGGCTTCGGCGCGCCAGGTCCACCCCGATATGGGCGACGCAGCCATCTTGAAGATTCCAATCAAAAGGCTCCCGAGAACGATGCCCTTGATCGATCTCCTCCGAGACGGCCCCACGAGCGCCCCCAAGGCCCCCGGGGGCGCTCTGAGAGGGCCCCGAGAGGCGCGCGGGAGGCCCCAAGAGGCGCGCAAAAAGCCTCCACGAGGCCCCCAAGAGATCTCCAAGAGGCCCAGAAGGCCCCTCGAGGCGCCCGAGACGTTCCGAAAGGCACCCGATGACCGGACCCAACGTCAATGCCAATGGCGAGTGTACACGAGACAACGGCAGGACTCACAGCTTGGTCAACAACACAGAATCGAATTGCGAATGCATTTCTCCATCTCGGTGCGTCCAGGCCCCAATCGACAAAACATTGGGCAATAAGGTGGCAATCGTCATGCCGTTCAGAATGCACCACTGGGCAAACATGTCCCCTCTCTTGTTCCTCTTTGGCATGAGGGGTGGCCGACGATACGCACGTCGTCATATTCAGTTCGTGGCCCAAGCTCGGCATTAAAGTCCACAGCCGCGATAACGGCGTATCCTTTCACCTATGTATCGCGTTTTTGCGAATATATCTCCTCATGCACCAACTCCACCTCAATATCGTTTTGCCCCCGTGCGGCATATAAACACATAGAACTCGTAACATGCCAAATGTAGGTGAGTGTCGCTAATCGCAAGAAAATGTGTCGAAACGCTGTGTGAGACCACTGTTCGTGTAGAAGACAACCAACGCCGCAGGATCGTCGAGTGCCCCCGTTTCCAAACCAGTGATGTCCATGCGATGTGTCGCGGGCTTCCCGGCGCTCGTCCCTCCAGGTTTTCGGAGCTCGTCCCTCCAGGCGTTTCCGGCAGGGGTGAAAACGGGGGGGGGTGCTGAAGCCCCCCGTTAATTTTCTCGGGGGCGGGGGGCGGCGGTTCCTGAACCCCCCACCCTGGTTTTGGAGGGGGGAGGTTGACCCCCCCCTGCCAGCAGCGGCAGAAAGCGCTGCTTCCTACATTGGAAGCGAAGGTGCTTATGCAGGACCTTACGAGGGCAGCTTGCGCGCGAATGTTCGTGCAGTCGACCCCGCGTTCCTGCGCCGCTCACCTGGGCGACGACGGGAAGCGGGCCTTGTGAGAGAAGACGTGGCGACCTCACGCGGTGGCTTACACGGGCCGGCGAATAGCGCGGCACAGCGGGTGGGAAGAATGGATACTTACGCCCAACCTCACTGCGCTTTGCTAGAGGAAGGGTGACCAAAGGCTGGTGGCGCCTTGCCTACATCTACTTGACCTACACGCGAGCAACTTGCCTTCCTACATCAGTTCTGCGAAAACCGTTTCAGCCTCTTGCACTGCTACAGCCAATGCTGTTGACATCCACTGGCTGTTGGTTGCGCAGCGCGCAGAACAGGGAGACGTATGGCTCGGGTTCAAGGGAGACAGGTTGGCCTAACGGGGCCGTCTGGAAAATAACGAGACCCAATTAAAATTTGACGCGAACTCCCGCTGCAAACATCCAAACAAATCTGACTGGCAAAATCCTCGACGGGCTCGTGAATAATTTTGCCGGGTGGGTCGCGGGTGGGTCGCGGGCGGAAAGCGGGTGGGTCGAGGGCTGGGTCGCGGGCTGGGTCGCGGGCGGGTCGCGGGCCGGGTCGCGGGTGGGTCGCGGGTGGGTCACGGGCTGGCCGCGTCGCGGGTGGGTCGCGGGCTGGGTCGCAGGTGGGTCGCGGATGGGTCGCGGGTGGGTCGCGGGTGGGTCGCTGGGTGGGTCGCTGAGTGGGTCGCGGGTGGGTCGCGGGGGGACGACGCCAGACAACAACAACGACAACAACGACCACCAGCGCCACCACAGCAACAACAACAACAACAACCATAACAAACCATAACAACCACAACAACGACAACGACAACATTAACAACAACAGCAACAATGACAACAACAACAACAACAACAACAACATCAACAGCAACATCATCAACCACAACACCAACATAAACAACAACAACAACAACAACAACAACAACAACAACAACAACAATCATTTAAGACTGGGGACACTCCGTTCTCACCAGTGCCAGGGTTTTCATAGGAGGCGGGCAATACCCCCACTTTGTGGGGGGGCCGGTTCAAGCTCTACCAAATTTCCAAACGACTCTTCGCCACCACCCACACCCAGCTTCCCGCCCTATGACGTTCGGACACTTCACTTCGTGGCATGCGGACGACCGTGGCTACTATTCAGGGCCCCGCGGCCGACGACGACGGCGTGCGCGCGCGAAGAAAAAACGAATGTGTCCCGCATGGTATTATTTGACAGGGATGATGGCCCTGGCAGGTGCGCAACCGTTGTCGCAGAAGTTCGAAAAAGTTGCTCGCAAAAGCCCGTTTGACAGAAATGTTTAAAAAGTGTTGGGTTTCCTACGAATCCGCAAGAGCGCGCGGGATGAGATTTTGACATTTTTTTGTTGAAAAACCATTGGTTTTTTGATGTTTTTATGTTAAAATCGCTCCGAACACTAAGCTTTTGGAAGGATTTCGTCTTGCGCGCGCGAATGTCCACTTTACCTTATTTTTTGCAAGGGATTCTTGAAATTTGATTATATTAGAACAAGAAATGTCATTTTATAGTGTTTTTTGCAAGGGAAAACGGATTACAACAAAACAACCGGATCTGGATCACATCGTTTTACCTGAGGCTTCCTCACGAAAATGATGAAAATGTAGCTGCGGCCTAGGCGGCGCAGGGGGGGCGTGCACCAGGGGGCCCAACAATAATTATTCTTTAGAATAAATAATGTTCAACAACAACAACAACAACAACGACAACACAATATCAACAACAAAAATCCGCATCGCGGAATCCCACTTCAGCCACGCACCCAGGGACTGTGAATGACAGTTCGCCCCCCTCACTTATAGATAATTAAATGCGCACATAAACATATGTATATATAATATGATGCGCATTACTGGGAGGTTAGACAAACCTTTCGATTCGGGTAGATCGATTATGTAGTAGACATCCTAGTTGAACTGTAGCAACCTGCTTCGCCAGCGCTCCGGTGTCCAGCAGCGCCAGCGCGGTGATGGCGCCGCGGACCACCGCGGGGTGGCTGTCCGAGAGGCACCGCGCCACCTCCGAGGGCAGCTGGCACGGCTGTGATGCTGAGATTTCGCCCCCCTTGGGATGCAGAAGGACGTACCAGCAGGCTCTGAAAAGGTTTCCCCCTAACGCCGCCACGCGTGCCCATGCCGATCCACACCGTGTTGGGAATGTCCGCACCCATTCCGCCCGTCACTCTGTAACGCAGTCGTGCTATCTGTGGACCACAATGGGCCTTCATTGCGCAGAGTGCAATCACTTCGGCCTTTTACACACCCACCACGACGTGTGTTAATGACCCACTCCGAGTCTTAGAGAACGCGGCTCGGGGATCTTCTGACCCGGGTCAACCCAGACCCGAGTCAGCAGGAAACCAAAAAACTGCAATGCAGGAAACAAAAACTGCAACGCAGGGTTTCGCAAACACGGCTCAGCCAATATGCGCGACCGACTCGCGGCCACGAGCCGCTCGCTAACCCGGGTCAGCCAGAGGGGGTCTTCGCAGGATCTTGCAGGATCCAGTGCCCTGGCTGACCCCCGTCAGCATTGACCACCGTCTCGAGGCTCCCGAACGGCATGCCCACTCCCAAGACCGGGCGAACTGCGATGACTTCTCTTGTGCAGTATACCAATTCGAACCGCCACCGCGAAGGGAAGACGCTTCAAGCGGAAACGGAACCGAAACCATGCCAAACAAAATCCAGACCAAGCAGACGTCCAAAAAGTCTCAAGCGGAGCCGGGCCCCAACCACGCCAGGCCAGGGCCAGACCAGGCAGAGCTTGAGGACGCCTCAAAAGAAACGGCGCCCAAACCAAGTCAAACCAGACCAAAGGCAAATTCTGGGGACGTCTCAAGCGAAACCAGGCTAAACCAGGCAGATGTTGAGGACGTCTTAGCAAAATCGCACAAAACAGGCTCCATCCACTCTCCTTGGCACATTCTTTAAAGGGGTGGATCACCCCAGGGCGGAAGTTTACAGTTTTTGTTATGGGGGGGGGTTGACCGCGCGTCCGCTGATGCGGACGGGGTTGGGCGTAGAAGTTTTCATTTGTATTTCAGGTGTTTTGGGGCTTCGGTGTAGCATTGGGAAAATACTCCCGATCCTGTACTACTATTATGTGTCCTGATCGGAAGCGTGTTTCCGCACCGAACATATAGCACAACCATGTTGTAGCATATCGTCCCCGAGCGGTATGGCAAGAAAACGACCGCCACGGAACATGTACTGAAAGACTTCTCGGCGCGCGCGTCGCTCTTTGGGAGGCGACGCGCACATGGCATTAGTAATTGCGGTGGGGTGACGCCGCCCCCCCCAGTGATGGGGAATGATGTAGTCATTACACATAATAGTAAGTATGCAAGAGAAGGATACACAGGACTTGGCAGTTTCCAAGCGGGGCGCGGCCAGCGAAAATTGCCACGGATACGCCGAAGCGGAAGGGATGCAAGGGTAGCCCCGGAAAGATGTTCATCCTCACTGGGCGCATTGACTCCGACTAGACTGGGGGCGAAACAGGCTGGGGTGGGAAAACATCGGGATGGAATCGGCGATGCGCCGCCGATAGCTCAGAGATAAGCCCCCGATAGCAAACCTGGACGTTCCTGGGCGGGGTGGCCTATCAAACCCCTATCGGCGTTCAACGCGCGGTTGGTGGTCGATGCGCCTGCCCGCGACTCCATCCTCCTCTAACGTTTCACCGGACTCCTCAGTCCAAAATGGAACCCGACTAGATAGGGTCGGAGGGTCGCGCCGCATCGTCGATGCATCGGCGATGCGTCGGCGACGTCAGCGATGCATCGGCGACGTCGGCGCGGAGAAAATGCAACTGCGGCACCGTTGACCGCGAGGGTCTCCGGCGGTTCGCGGCATTCCAGTAATAGGTTGTCCCAATCGACAATGATCCGTTGGAAGTCGTCGCCGCGGATGCGTAGTAGTTGCAGACGCTCAAAGTCGTGCAGGGTGTCATCGACTGCGGTGACCTTGAACGACTGTAGTAACGTCCAATAGATTTCTCTGCCGTTGAGCATGCGGCCGGCTATGGCTTTGCGCCCCTGAGCTGCAGGGTTCTTGATGCGGTCGCGCAACTCAAATTAAAAACAGCAGCGAGTCCGGCTGCGAGCTTGCAGCCGGCACTTTCGATGTCGCCGCTGTCTTGAAGGTCCATGCAGGTCGTCTCGGGTTGTCCTGCAACGCAGGGGAATGCATAGGCCTTGGCAGGGCGCCCAGATGCGCTGCCAAAGTGGTTGCGAACCATATGTTGCCACCCTTGTAGTTGTGTGGTGCGCGGCACTTGCGGTGCGCGCACGGTGTCGGACTCCTCGATTGGAGTTGCGGCGGTAGCAGAGGCGCGTGACAACGTCTCCGAAGGAAGCGCTTGCGTTGGAGAAGGAGGTCGAACGGGAGAAACGCGACGCGTCGGCACAGAGGCCGCGGCTGAGGCGGCGCCGAGGGGAGTGCGCCCCATATGGCATGTGCGGAAGTCACCATCGGCATGCGTGGGAGCTGGTCGATGGTCTGTCTGGAGGTGGTTGGTAGAGCTCGGCGTTGCTGACGTGCGGAATCGGCGTGGTTTCGTCGGTCGCAGCGCTGTGCTGCATCTGTTCAACACTCTGATGAAGACCACGTAGCTCGGCATTGGTATCGTGGGTCCGCTGGGAGTACCTGTCCAGCCTGCGCTCAAGGTGTTGGAATCGCTGGTTGTGTGCTCCGCGCTCCTGTTCCAAACGGGCTAGGATTGCGTCGGCCGCACGTGTTGTTTTCTCACGGAAAAAAAAAACCTCTCTTTCCTGTGACATTTGGGTGAATCGTAACTGCGCGTGAACCGCCGCCTGCTGCACCTCGGCCGCATTGGCTTCGGGGGAGGCGAAATCGTAGACCCAAGTCGGGGTGCCCAGCTGATCAGTCTGGGCCCGCACAACGCGCGACTCAGCCAGCGCAGTCCGCAGTTCGGGAATATGATGCTCGACCCGGGAGACTAGGTCGTCGAGCGTCGGCGCGCGCCCTTCGAAAGCTGCAAGACGGCGGGCGCGGGCCATCTCGGCACCGCGCAGCTTACCATCTAACTCTGGCGCGAGGGTGGCACGGGTGGATCGCATCGGGGCAGCATGCTGTTGAACCTGAGTGCGAAGTGTATTCAAGTCCTCACGCAGCTGAGAGTCCGTGGGCCCATGTACCTCCATAGGCGCGGTCTGCCATGCCATGATGAGCTCATCGTGTAGAGTCCTGGCAGCAGCAGTCCCTGTTTCCCTGACGGCCACGAGTTGTGCCTCCATCCAGGGGGGGTACTCGTGAAACGTCTGGATCGTTCTGGAATCGGCACCTCGGTGTGACTCCATTTGGTAAACCTGGAAGTGCACCTGGGAGATGATCGATCGATCATCAGCGATCCTGGCACCGACTAGGCGGCAAGGGCACGTTGCAACTCATGTCCGACGGTGGCCGTCTGAGCGGCCAAACCCGATAGCTGTTGGGTCGTGTAAGTTTCAACCTGGTCTCGGAGCTCTGCCGGGTCACTGGCAGTGTGGTGGTGGTGGTGGTGGGCGGGGGGGGGATTGCGCAGCAAGGTTGCGCTGCTGAGAGCCATGCCGAAAGCATCGTTGATGGGGGGCTGCGGCGTGCATCTCGAATAGGAGAACGGATGCGATACCTTTCGGGGGCCTGTCGTTGAGACGTCCGTCCTGTGCGATTCTCTGTGACCCACACATGTCCAAAAACGGAAACATGCGTGGGCGACGGGGTCTTGGCCCAGCGGCGGCTGCGCACGATAGCAATGTCTGGGGGCACGTTCGCGGTGAGGTTGCCGCTGCGGGCGTTGCCACCGACGCTAATGTCAGCGAAGGTGGGCGGGGAGGCACTAGACGTAGTGAAGCCAACGTCGGTTCCGACGACAGACGGGACCTTTGCGGGCGTTGCCACCGACGGGCCTGACACGGATGTATCAGGCGCCGCGGGAGGCGGATCCTGTCGTTGCCGCGAGGGTCGAGGCGCGTGACCACGCGGGGGCGGATCGGGTAAGAACTCGCCGAGTGCAGCCGCGAAACACGCAGTACTGCCTTCACTTAAACGGGGGGAGATCGGTATCACAATTTCTCTTGCCCTCTCCATGGTGCCGTCGCGAGAGCGCGCCGTCGAGGAGATCGCACGCTTGCAGGCACCGCAACGGAGTTGCGTCGCCAAGCGGCGGAATCCAAAATGACGCGGGCTGCAACAGTAAAGAGCGGATAAAAAAAGGCTGCTAACCTGCGTGTATAGGGAGACGGCCGAGGGTCCGTTCCTATACGGGGTCCGTTGGTAGAGGCGTGGAGTAGGATTCCTTTTTCCACGGCACTGCGCAGTGTGCAGTGCACTGTGGTCGTTTAGCCATTACCTGAGCCAATACAATTGCGGAAGGAGGGATATAATAGGGAAGTGAACGGACTTCACACACAGGGCAGAGACCCGAGAATCCGACGTCGTGTTTTTCTCGCCACGTGGCTCCGCGGAGGTCTCGACGTCTCGACCCCTTCCCGAAGACCCACATTTCATCCTGGCCCCAAGGGGCTGTAAATGGACAAATCATCTGTCGTGATTTTCCCCACGACGCGAGTATGCGAGGACAGGGAGGGGGAGGAGACAGGAGGGGGCCGAGTCTCTCACCAGCGCTGTAGTTCCAGCGACTGCCCCGAACCTTCTCCACCTCCGTGGACGCGTGCATGCTGCCCAGCGCCACGCAGCAACTGGCGCGCAGGCTGGGGTCGGGGTCCTCCAGCAGCGCCGCGATGGAACCGACGTGCGCCCCGGCTGCCTCCCCGAGCAGGCCCAGCGCACCCACAGCGAAGGTCCTCCTCTTCGAGCCAGGGCCCGCCAGCAGCCTCGCCAGGGCGTCCATGTGCTGCAGCCCAGCGGCGCCCATCTGCCCAATGGCCTCTGCGGCCGCCAGCGCCACCATCTCGTCCGCGTGCCTCGTCAGCGCCGCCACGTCCGGGCCATAGCCCAGCGACGCCGCGCCGCCCTCGCCCAGATCTGCGATGGTCGCCAGGGTCCTGCAGACCACCCGGGAGTCGCTGCTCTTCAGCCCCAGGAGGAAATCCTCGCCGTTGCTGCCACCGGTGTGGGGTGGTGTGGAGGGGGGGGAGTGGCTTGGAGGGAGTGGGGCACGAGGAGCGGGGGCCGCCCAGGCGGGGCCGTGGCTGATCGGGGTCGGCGGGCCGCGGCCTCCTCGCCGATGCATCGGCGACGACGGGACCTGGAAGAAACCGACCTCAAGATCGCGCCGCATCGCCGACACATCTGCGATGTGGCGGGATCCTCGGACCCCATCAGCTGCGGCCCCATCAGCTGCGGCCTGGAAGGAGGAGCAGCAGCAGAAGATCGCAGGATCACTGCCGACCCTGGCCATCGTCACCAAGCAGTGCCAAACACCCATTCCTATCCCCCCCACTCACCCTGCGGCGGCCAACCTGGCACAGCCCGACAGCGAGGGTCGACGTTCCCCATCTTTCGCCCTCCGACGTCGCGACAAAACGACGACGACGAAACACATCAGGACTGGAGCCCACCTTCATACGTCATTTCCTGAAACGGATCTACGCGTGAGGGCCCCAACGACCCGATACGGACCCAACGACGCCCGTTGGTTTGGGTCCAGCACCCTCCGATTGGCGTTCGGACCCTAACGGGGCCCCTCAGCGGCCGTTCGGAAAAGCTCGTTTGTTCCCAGGAAACCTCCCGGCGAGGTGCGGCGAACGGGAGGCGGCTACTGGCACCAGGAAGGACCCCAAGAAACACCCGAAAGACCTCCGACAACGCTCCTGCATCACCCCGAAGGAAATCGCGGAGGAGCGAGCGAGCGAGCTCGCCGGTGACCGTCAAGGGCGGGGCCTAGAAGGCCGCGCGGATGGGCCAAAGCCCTCAACGATCCCAAACTAAATCGGCGTGGGCAGGATACGGATGGGTTAAACGTGGGGTGTAAGGGATCTGGCGCGCAAGTGTCCAGGGGGTGTCGGAGGGGAAAAGGAGAAGGATGATAGGGCGGAGGACGACGGCAGAGGAACGAATCATGTCAGCCAACGAAGACTCCATATGGGGCGTTCTAGGAATCATCGTGGTGCATGTAATGTGTTGCGCTTGAACCTGTCAGCCCCACTGCTCGCGCAATCATCCCACCAAATCACCCGCAATTTGCATTGCAAAATCCATGCGGCGGCGATTGCGATGAGTGCTTGGTGTTGGCTGGTGCATTTCTGCGGCCGTGATAGCTCGCGCACGCTCGCGCGCACAGCGGTCAGCAAGTTTGGCGCGACCAGCGCGGCTGCGGTGGCGCTGACCGCCAGGCACTTCCCAGCGGGCACTCCTGCGCGAGTCCGTAATTTTGGCGGGCGCGGTATCATGGCGGGGTGGACAATGGTGGACACGATGATAGTAGCGATGATGGTGGCGATGGTGACGAAGACGACGGCGAGGCCAATGAAAAATGCGCCGATGCTGATCACGCCGATGACGTTGACGATGAGTTCGACCTGCGCGCGCGACTGGCCCGCATGGTATCGTTTGACACTGATCGTGCCCCCCAATAGGCGCGCGCGCAAGGGCGCTCGAATGATTTCGATACGCGGCGCGAAAAGCCAGTTTGGTATAATGATACGAACATGTTGCAAACCCGATGGTTGTCATGCGATTTTTTACAACAACAAAAAAAACAATGTTCCGTTTATTTGGGTGGAGAGACTTCCGTTGCCCCCCCCCTCAAAACAAAACAAAAAAAAAAAAAAAAAAAAAAAAAAAAACGGTTTCCGGGGGCTCAATATTGAATTTCCCCAGGGGAAAAAAAAGAAGAAGAAAGAACAAAAAAATCGCTGAGTGGAGTCGGCACACGCGCGGCGACGCGCGCGCGCACTTCGTCGCGATTCTGCTGCAAAGGACTCTCGCGACAGCACGCGCGCGAGAGGCTTTCGAGCGATTCCAACATGCGCGCGTCAAGGCCCCGTTTGGTAGCATTTGGTGATGGTGTTGGAAACCGCTGCTTCTCTGAAGGATTCGCAAAAGCGCGATCGCATGTTGTTTGACGGCTCTTGTGTCGAAACCACGTGTGTTGAGCATTCGTTCGGGGCGCTCGAATTTGAAATCCTTGCGGGGCCTACAACTGATGAAAGATGTCGGCATGGGGGCGCGACGACGACGCGCGCGCTCCATCCCATGTGTTCAGCGGGAACTCGGAAACGAATGATTCTTGATAAACAGGTATGCGTGTGAAATTTCTGTGGGCGAAGAATGAATGGGGGGGCGGGGGCCGACAAGGCGACGATGCGGCATCGCACGCAAATTGCAACGCGCAAAGGAAGGCCGTTCAGCCAGGGGGGGGGGGGGTGCAGTTCCGACTAAGCCTTTGTCAAGGGGATGATATGTGGCGCAATATATGCTGCGCAACCAGCGTGGAGCGATTTGTGTAAATCGCGGTGCAATCATTGCGTTCCAAGCTAAAATTACGCGCGCAGGTCAACGACAGAAGAGTCGAACCTACTGAGAAACCCGTAGGTTGAGGAAGGTCAACGGTCGGGGAAGGGGCGGCGATCCCTTTTCCCATGCGCCGCGGGCAAACGGCGCGGCACCAGTTTCCAATGCCTGAGCCGAGACTGTAGCAGGGCAGATGGATTGAGAGGTGAAATGAGCGGACTTCACACGCGCGCCCCGCCCTGAACCCCGCCCGCCCCACGCGGGCCCCGGGCCCGCGGGAGGCAACGGCGGGGCTCGGGATCAGGAGGTGCGAAGTCCACTCAACGCACCTTCTCACCCCCGGCAACCTCCAAGCGAGGCCGTCACGGTTGGGAAAGAGAGGAAGGGGCCAACAGCGTCACGCAGGGCCCATAAGTGAGTCTATCCGCCTTTAACGGGCCCAGGAACGCCCCCACAACACGCAGCGGCACTCCCGGGCCACCCCGCGCCGCCACGGGCGACGAGGTTGGGGGGGGAAGATGGTGGGAGTGGGATACGACGCCGCGCCGAAGTTGCAAGCGCGGGCGCTCCACCGGCGCGCAGTGCGTCGCGCGCAAGAACCCGAAAAGCGCGTTCGCATATCATCCTGAACTCTGAATTCAGGAATATTGCGGTCAAATTAGCAGCAACAATTCATCAAGTCACGCTAGGATCGAATCATCCACAGGGCGCCCCAGGCCCAAAATCAAGTTGGTAGGTCGAGCAAGGTTGCTGCGACAAATGATCAACTAAGTCGCATGCGATTAAAGCAGCTACGACAAGTGATCGAATAAATGGTACTCTAACGTCATGCGCGAGGCGCTACGGGCCCCAAAGTTGTGCGATGCACATCCAAGATGTAGGACGATGGGGTGACGCTACCGGCAGATGTCATAGGAATCGTGATTGGCACAGCCCATGAAAAGGAAGTAAAATGTAAAGTGCAATAAGATTCAGGACGGGCGACCTCTCTGGGTGCGTTATTGCCCCTGACGTAGACAAACATAATAATCGAATTCCTAGAACCTGCTTGCGACGTGCAACGATAGATGTACATATCCAGGCAACAAGCATGCGACTATTAATGTAAATGTTGCGCCCGTCAACTCAATCAACGAAACATTTTTTGGTGGCAGTATGCGACTCCCAAATACGATTGCTATGGTTGTCAAATTGCCCGATAGTGCGGGTGGCAATGTGACCAGCCCAGTTCTCTTCTATATTCACAGTCGTCCTCATCGATCTAGGTCTGGCTGTTCAGACAGCGCAACCAGTTGCGGCGCGTGTTCTGTGGTAGTAGTGCTCTAAATTGTAGCGCCACCGCGCCCTTGGGAACGCCCTGCGGGCGCCGCTCCGAGTGCGCTTGCTGGTCATGCGCTGCGAGCCTCGCGGCAGGCGCGGCGGCGCAATCGGCCTCCGCGCCCCCGACGCAATCGGCGCGGCAACTGCTGCGGCCCCGCCGCTCCAATCTTCGTCGCCGGGAGCAGGGCCGCAGGAAGACGCCGCGCCCGAGGAGGGAGCAGCGCCCTTGGCAGACCCATCGCGGCGCGGCGGCGGAGGAGAGGGCGGGGGGATAGATCGGGGGCCGGCGACCCGAACAATCCCCGCGCCGAAGGCTTTGCCCCCCGCAGCGGTCGCAGCAGCGCGAAGCCTCTCTCTGAGCTGCGCCAAGGTCGCGCGATCATGGCCCGTCTCGCCGATCCGGAGAGCGCCCGCACGCATCTTGCAGATCTGTTCGCCGAAATTGGCAAGGAGGTCGGTGCAAGCTACTGTGTCCGTCTGAATTTCGAGTGCTCCTGCCTGGACCAGCGTCTCAATCCACTCGCGGGCATTCCCGCCGGCGCTCAACTCGCGACCGAGATCGCAGAGGGCCTGATCATGGATCGCGCGAGCGCTATCGGTGGCCAGATCCGCGGACATAGATTCGCATCTCGCGTCGGTCATCTGATCGAAAAGATCGCCCATCGTTGTGTTTCCACGAAGTCGGCGCGCTGAGGCTGCGCCGGGATGCTCGGCCATGGTCTGCTCGTTCTGCTTTACGAGGGCCGCCCCATTCGCAGCCCTCTTGTCGCCCTGCAGGATATCATCGCTATCAACACGGAGTACTTCGACGATCTGGTCCTGAATGGGAGCGGTCGCGGAAGCGGAGCTTCCTGGGTCGGGCTTGGGTCCTGGAGACTCAGGGGGTCCCTCGGCGTCGATCTCTGCAGACGGGCGCGCGGGATGATTGGCGGTCGCCCGCGGAGATAGACGCGCCAGGTCACTGCGCATGCGCGGGACTGTCGTCCGGCCGATCCTGCCACAACGGGAATGTTGACTGAAGATATCCCTGAAGCGACACATCGGCAGCAATTGGATCGACCCGCAACTTTCGCAATGCGCAGGGCCTCGGACACTTGGAGCCCCACGACCTATGGTGCGAGAGATATTTGCCAACACACGCGCGCAAACGGATGGAGGGGCCGAGAGAGGAAAAACGAGGGCAGGCGACAGCAGTGACAAGCCTGACAGTCTCAGCGGTCTCCGTCGCCTTCCCGGTCTTCGGGATAGCGGCGGGAAACATGAGAGATAGCTCCAGCAAGTCTTGCCAAAGGTGGGCCTTCTTAAGCTCAAAATGTTTAGCCAGCAT